ATTAATAACAATTTTGGACACCAAAAGTCATACAAGCAGACACCGGATCTTATTTGTATTAAAAGCAACTAATGTGTATATTATCACTCAAAGTGTGTTGAAGTGTCAAACTTAAACAGTAAACTCCTAATTATCAGGAATGTATGGGGCCTGCCAGTTACAGGAGAAAAATCTTTGCAGAAACCCATTACAGAAACAAAACAGCATTTTCTCACTTTTGTTCTTGTGTAGGAGTCCCTCTAGATGGTGAAAGAGTATGCCGACAAATACGATTCTGGATACATATAATGTAACATGATCACAAATATTAATGTACTGGCTCCTGTGTGAGGAAAGAAGATGAGCAATGCTGCTAGTGGTGGCTTGAAGAAGTAATGCATGGCAGGTGAACACATGCACATCACAAATTTCTTTTTGAACAGCTTTATGAAAAACAGTCAGTCTTCTTTGTTGGTCAGATTGTTGGGAGCTGGCTAACAGGGAGTTTACCCCCCCCCCGGCACTACAGCCCCAGTGGGCCTAGGCCTACCTCCATGAACTTCTCTGTTCACTACGGTTAACAGGGAGTTTACCTATACAAATTTCACCTAAACAGAAGAAAGAAAGGTGCTGATACTCCAATGTGACATAGAAGAGACAATGCTTTTTATGAAAATCAGGAAACAAAAAACTTGTAATAAGATATTTATTCTTTCAAAATTCGTTATATCATTACTTAAAAACATATTTTTGACTTACATTTTTAATTTTTGTTCTATGAAAAAAGCAGAAGCATTGCATACCATCAGAAAAGAAGCCCTGCCTAAATGTAACATATGACTAGTATCTACAAGAATAGCTTTTTTCAGTTCTAGAGAAGAATCTGGAAAAACTTCTACAATCTTCAGCAGACCAAGCTTTTCACTGTAACAATTAGAACACAAGTGACTTTTTGACGACGCACTAAAATGTACTACCATATTTACTCGAACAGAAGAAGATTCTGAAAGCAAAATGGCCCCACATTAAAAAATATGTCGATATGAACGAAGTCATTTTATAATTTCATACTTTTACTACAAATATAGAAAATAAAGATTATAAAATATGTTATGCAAGTCACTTATTGAGCTTACTTCCTTCGTGAACCTACTAGCCTTTATTCAGCTTCACCATTCCTATCATCTGTCTCAGCTGCACTGTCTTCACGATTCCCACTGTCCGCCTGATATTCGCCACTCACTCTCTCATGTTCACTGCCAACATTTCCAATTCCTTCCTCATCCTCAATTCCACCCATTTCGTCAGATATACAGCAGTTTTTAAATACATTATCATTTCTGGATTGATCCACTGGCACAGCAGTGCCACAATGGGCTTCTTTACTGTGCTAGTATATGTCAAAACATGGTCGCCTACTGGGAACCATTTACTTACTTACATACTTACTCACGGAGCTGAGCCCTTCTGGAAGAGCCGCCAATTCTGCAGCTACTCAAGAATTTCCCAGCATGTTATGGAACCCAAAGGTTCATCACTGTGTTCACAAGAGCCCTCCACAGGTCCCTATCCTGAGCCAGATCAATCCAATCAATACCATCCCATCCTATCACTCTAAGATCCATTTTAATACTGTCCACCCACCTACACCTTGGTCTTCCCAGTGGTCTCTTTCCTTCTGGCTTTCCCACCAATATCCTATACACATTTCTTGTCTCCCATTCAGAATACAATTGTTAAGGATTATTCACTAGAATGTGCAGCTGTGAAATCATCCCTCCACGCATGACCACAAGATTCATTGCCTGAACCAGGGAGCTGAATGGCCTTAACTGCAACCAGTATAAGCATCCTTCTTTTCTCAACAATACTTTGCATCTCCTGTTCTAGACAGCTTGCACCCAGTACCTCATAAGTTCATTTAGTATGACATGATTATTAACCCCATACATATCTGCACTCTAGGCATAGTTCTGCAATTAAATATCACATAATGGTAGTGGGTTCATGCTGTCTGCCAACTCCGTCAGCATTCCAGCACTTACACCTCTTCACTGTCTGATCTTTTTACAACAAAGAGAATTACCTAAGTAAAAGTAAAGCTATCCCTGTAACAGGCCATGAAGGCCCATAGGGTTGTGAGACATTGAGGGTCCCACATTATCTAGACATTTGGCTCAAAGATGGTGGTAAAGTTGCCAGCCTTATGCACCGGCCGCACTTCACTCCCCAGGAAAATAATTTAATTAATTCCTGGTACTCATTTCTGTTAGAGGCTGAGTGAACCCCAGGGCCATAGTGCAGCTGGAAGGATTAGGTCTACTGAAAAAATCCAATGACCTCATTGGGTCTTGAACCCGCGACCTTCCAGCTTCTAGCATAGCCCCTCAACCAACTACGCTACCGCATGCCCCAAAGAGAATTACCTATGTTTCATAATTAATAGGGAAGTCTAGAATGATATGTCTGATCACTCTGGATACCAAGAGACATCATATAACTTGGGGAAGAAATTTTGTTTTCCCTTGTTAAATATTTACCAAATAAAAACCACGTTTGTGATATAGAGAAGTTGGACAAACACTTTACAGTACAGGGTACATACTGTTTTGTGTACGATCCAATTTTCTTTTAAGCTTTATAAAATATAAAGAGCACATGATGCAAAAGTATTTTAAGTCATGAAAACAAGAAAACAAAAGAATAAGTGATACATTAGTTTAAACTGTTATGTCAATGCCGGTCCACATTCCCACATGTCATATAAGATGCCTATATAGACACAGTGTTCCACACCTGTTTGAATTTGACATGTCGGTGCTCACCTTATGTTGTGTAACATTCTTAAATTATGAATTCTGAAGATGACCTCTATAATTGTGATTCAAGACTGTGAAACATAAGGATTTGGAACCTCTGTGCCATAAGCAACAAACATACGCTGAAATTAATATTTCTACTTTTCACATTACCTTCACACATATCACAGCAACTGCCAAAAATCCTGTTTACACTATTGTTCTATTTAAAAAGGTAGCAGTCAAAGGCCATGAGATCTTCACAGTGACTAGGGTACAAAAAATTGAATATCACAATTTGTACAAATATTGGCTAGAAACATCTAACTGGCTTGATGGTAATTCTTTCGGCCTGTGTATATATAAGAAGACTATACAAACTAAAAATTCATACTCAATTAGCTTATTTTGATTTAAAACTATAGAGATTAAAAATAGTAATCCTAGAAATATGACAAGCACTTAATAATGTAATGTGTTCGGAATACAATGTGTATTAAAAATTTAGTTTCACTATACATGTCCAATGAGTGAGGCAATGGTGTGGGACAAGACTCTCTAGAGAACTGATTAGAGAAGTTCACCTTGGATATTGTCCCATATGCCCTTGTGCAGCAGAAATCATACATCTGTGTGCACAGCTGTTCCAGAATTAACCTAAGCTGAAGTAATTTTCTTGTGCCATATTTATGTCTTGTCTAGAATATCTTTGGTGGAAAAAAAGTTGAAGAGCCACCATATGAAGATTCTCAATTTTAATTGCTTACACTTACTGATTTATGATACTTATGTTAATGAACCTGGTGTCTTAGAACAACTAAAAGTTGGAGATGACTTTGAATCCACAAAAATACACAGAATAATGCACTGATGCATCTGATGGCACTATAAGATTAGTCCTCCTGATCAATAAGATGAAAGCTGAATGTTATTCAGACTCCTTTTGGGCTTCTTTACTCCAACTTTTGAAAGGAAGGGAGTGAATATGAAAGAAACATCTTATCAATAAAAATTAAGGAAGAACACACATGGTTCTTCAACAGATATTTTCATGATAATGTCCCTTACAGTCTATGTAACAAGCAATTTGGAATTTCATATTCCTGGCCACCACATTCCCCAGTGACCATACCTGAAGGACAACACCTATACACAAAATCCACATGGACTGAAAAATAATCACAGCTGCTCCAATAAACAGCACTACAGAAATTCTGGTTACAGTCAGAACATTCCTACTAACATCAGCAAATGGATGGAGTTGGGTCAAATATCATGAACAGGTTTACATGGATAAACATGTTTGTAATGATGAAATGACAACTGTTTTAGTTTGTGATACCTCGTGTGTAAAGTTGTTCCTGTTCTCAATCAATTAAGTGCTATACCATGAAAACATATGGGAGAGTGGATGTAGAGATCTACTATTCCTGACATCTGCACTAGACGGAGCTGGGATAGTGCAGTCGGTATAGTAACTGGTTACAGGATGGATGACTGAGAGAACGAAGTTTGAATACCGGTAGAGGCAAGACTATTTTTTTCTTCACATCGTCCAGACCGGTTCTGTAGCCCACCCAGCCTCCTATCCAGTGGATACTGGGGGCTCTTTCCTCAGGGGTACAGCAGCTAGGGCGTGAAGATGACCATTCACCACTAACTAGTGCCAAGGTCAGATATATGTGGGTCTATACATTCATTGCCCCGCACACCTTCATGGTGCAGTGCTCAATTACTTGAGCACAGGGCAACTTCACTTTTTATTTTGTGTGTAGTTTGGTACACATCTACACTACATGATGTAACATCCCAGAAGATAGTACTCATCACAGTCAAAATCTCACAAGGTTTCTGAAATCTGCATTAAATCTATGATAGAGTGCAAGGTGGTAAGAACAGAAACAAATAGTATTACTTTAACCCCTTGAAGCATAAATTAATCTTGGAAATTAAGTTTTGCATGAAAGATTATTTGACATACAGTATTTACAGTAGAAGAACATCAACATCTGTGAATTCAGACTTGCTGCTTAAGGTGGTTCTGCATGTAAACCATTTTTTTTTCATTGTACCCAAACTAACTGCCTTCTAAAAGAAGTTATTGAAGGAAAGATAGAGGGGCGGATAGAAGTGACCAGAAGACGAGGAAGAAGACGTAAGAAGATGCTGGATGACCTTGGGGACAGAAGAGGATATTTTCATTTGAAGGAGAAAGCTCTAGACTGCATCAAGTGGAGGAACTGTTTTGGAAGAGACTGTGGACCTGTCGTCTTGACAGATTACAGATGAATGAATGTACCCAAACTGCACACTTTTCTGTTCCTCAGTAATTCTCCTTGGGTCAACATTTGCTTCATGTCTGAATAACATATAAGAGGGTGAAGACAAATAAAGAACAAAATACATAAGTATCCAGGATTCTGAATTCAACATGATAATTAATAAGAACTTTAGAAAAAACATTTAAGAATGTGTGTATCGCAGTATATCAGATGCTACAAAGATATATAACCAGTTCACATATAAATATGGCAAGAATCAGAAAAAACATCTTCAGCTTAGCACAAGACATAATGATTTCTAATATGTTCCACACAGTTTTGCTAGCTGCACTTCAGCTGAACATAACTTTTCAAAATTCTCTCATCATTTTTAAGCAGTCATAAGAATTCCTGAATCTGACTAAGTTTAGTTTTATGGACACATAATTAATAATCACATTTAACTGGTATCATTAAAAAATCGGCTCAAGATACTGTATTACTGTCACAATGAGTACAAGACTCCTAGCAATTAGCTGGAAAGAAGATTAATGATACATTTCACTTCAAGATATTGACTTATAATACCTTACAAGGGTGGTGTTGTCTGTGACTGCAAGTAACTCAGCACACATCGTGGACATGCAAGATGAAGATTTGGAGCGTTGGAAACAAATAAACCTTTCAGAACTCTTGCAGTGTTAGGAAGGGGATGGTGTAGCTGCAATAGGCCAAGTTCCAACTCTGGAAGAACTGACTGGTGAAATACTGACTGCCCATAATGATGACCACAAGAGAATGCTAGAAGTTGTTCCAGTTTCGTTGTTTCAGATGAGGAGTCCTTGCATGTTTCAGATACCTGCAGTATAAAGTTCTTCTTAAAATACTTCAAGACGACAAATTTAAATGGAGTAAAGCTGTCGTTAAAAGAGCTTAATATTTTAGAAAATACTTTCAGAATGTAGTACTTGGTGCCTTTTTAAATCTATCACTGAGAAATGGCAATATAAGATTTTTCTAGCAGACAATGTAGTTTAACACTTTGCGGACCACGCACCCTTTAAAAGGTTTTTTGCTTTTAAACATGGCGGACCGTTCGCGTGTTAACAGGTTTTTAGAACATGATAAGTTGCAACACACTATACATCGCTCTGGCGCCACCTACATTGCATGCAACTGCCTGCAGATGTGTGATAAGACTCTGGAATGTTTAGTTAGCAGTCAGTAACCTGACCTCGCTGTTTACTTAACTGACTATAAAGGAAAATGCTTTGCCTTCTTCAAGCTGTGTGTATCAGCCAGTAGCTAGTGGGGAGAATGGATCAAGGACAAATTCTCCTCTGATGACCTAGCTGACCTGCATTGTGAGACGCGTAGTAATGGACTGTCATTCAGACAGCGACAGTGACGGGGGACAACAAAGAATTGTGGCCACAGACAGTAAATTGACAGTAGCTCCGACGATAATGCGGGTAATAACATTGCGCGTAGTAACACTGCGGGGGCAGCAAAAAATCCAAAAGAAAATCTAAACCCTGATTCAAAATTGAAATACAAAGCATTTCTGATGAATGTGGCAAAGGCCTGGGCTACGGTCCAGATGGTGGCGGCAGAACCAGGGTCACACAAAGACTTAGTACCACCGGGCCCATCAACTCCCACCCCACGAAGGCTTCATGTGGACCCCCCCAGGGCGACTCTTGAGTGATATGCAGAAAAATAGCCTCGTGAAAATTGTGAAGCGTGAACATTCCAAGGGGAAGAATACTTCTAGGCAATGCCGTGTTTGCACAGTTCATAAAGGAGTATGTCTACATTTGCAAGTTCTGTGTAATGTCACTTCACAAAGGGGAAAGTTTCCAGAAATATCACACCCTCAAGCACTTCTAGGAGCACTGGTAAGTGTTCTCCAAAAATTTTAGTTCAAAAAATTAATTAGGAGATTTTATATTAATTCTTAAAATGAATAGTGCACAAGTTAGGGTAGTATGTTTAAAAATGGCGGTCCCCAGGATGATTTAAGTATTTAAATCACCGGTCCGCGAAGTGTTAATACTAAAGTAAGAAGAATCTCAAAAGTGGATGGAAATTAACACTCAGATAATAGTAACATAGAAATTACTACCACCAGATGATGGAAAATCTTAAATAAAGAAATATGAAATGGGAATTCCATTCTATCTGTATTTCACAAGCAATGAAAGACACGTGTCATGATCATATGAGTGAATGCAATTATGTTTCTCTACAGGTTTATAACAGTGGTCAATTGATTACACTGAAATTATAGGCAATGATTACTTAATGCTGTAACAGTTTAACACTGCATCATTTTAATGCTGTCAGCAAATGAGGTTCTACCCAAATATAAGCAGCACTTTCATCCACAAACTGCTGATTCTGAATTCAGGATGTGACTTAAAAGTGGCTCTTAAAGGAAAAATGTTGCCAAATTGTACAGATCCTGTAAAGATAAACAGTTCCTTGTTATGACAACATTTGAAGAAGTGAAAGCATGAAACTGTTCAGGAGAGGTAAGACAAGTGTTCATTTTAATTCAAACCAAACTTCTTATTAGGGGAGAGCTGAGATATAATGTTGAGAAATAAAAAATTATGTCAGTGCATACAACATTTTTCCGTTTCAAGACCATGAAATTTTGGGGGAGTGGCATATATTCAGACTTGGCTCATATTCAGGCAAATACAGTATTACTATTTTCATGTCACACATCAGTTTAACATCATTTTGTCATATTAACACTGCAGAAAAAAAAATTGTAATATCACATCTAATTGCTTGAATATCTCTAAACTTGTATTTGAATTGTGTTCTCTTCTACTGTTGAAGAATGACATTCAGGAGAACAGTAATACACTGCTGTGAACTGAATACTGTTCATATTTCTCCATTTGAATACATATAAAATTACAGCCAGAGTTACTAACAACGATTTTAGTAACAGTACTTTCTTTTAGATGTATGCCTTCTGAAAATGGCCTCATATATGTTACACTGAATGGTACTCTTATTAACCTTTAATGGCCGAATGTTATAATTATTGGCAGCAAGTAGCAAGCCAGCTGGCCGAATGTTATAATTTTTGTGCAAGCCAAGATGCTCCAGGCCCTTCTGCTCAACTGCCTGACGTCACAATTGAAGAAATGTCAAAATTTTTGGCCATAATAATTCAAATGGGCCACGATCAGCGGGATACCCTGAAAGATTAGTGGTCGAGAGATGAGCAGTACTACACTCCATTCTATCATAACACCATGGTACGCGACCGTTTCTTCCATATTTTGAGATTCCTGCATTTTGAGAATAATGAAGCTCCTCCAAATCGAGATGACCCAGAGTACGATAGGCTCTGGAAGATTAGAAAAATTTTCAACAATTTTAACAGCAAATTTTGTGAACTTTACCATCCATCGGAACATCTTGCTGTTGATGAAGTGAAAGTGCTGTTCAAAGGAAGAGTGGTTTTTCGGCTGTATATTCCAAAGAAGTTACGGATCCAATTTGCCGACTTCCCTTACCTACCTTAGTCTATCGACTAGAGGCTCCTCACCTTGGAGACCTGCTGCGGATATGGGTACGAGCCGGCGCGACACCTCCGCGTAGCCCTCTCCCGGATTTTCAAGGTCCGAGGGGACGACCCGGACACCGCCGCAACTGCGGTGCTCTTCGCGTTCCAAACCCTATCTCCCTGCTAGAGGATTCCAGGGAACTCGAACGCTTATGCAGAACAGAAAACTCTGCCCGGGTCTCCCGACGGCGTCTCCGGGTCCCTTTGGGTTACCCCGACGAGCTTCTCTTGCGAGGGCCCGACGGTTCGGTTCCGCTGCCGGGTTCCGGAATAGGAACCGGATTCCCTTTCGCCCTCGACGGGCGGGGAGCCACCCCGCCTCATCGGCATCGGATCTCTCCTAGGGCTTAGGATCGACTGACTCGTGTGCAACGGCTGTTCACACGAAACCCTTCTCCACATCAGCCCTCAAGGCCCTCTCTTGAGTATTTGCTACTACCACCAAGATCTGCACCGGCGGCGGCTCCAGGCGGGCTCACGCCCGGACCCTTCCGCGCTCACCGCCGCGCCCTCCTACTCGCCGGGGCTTCAGCATCACAGCCCTGCCTTCCGGCGGCCGGGTATGGGCACGGAGCTTTAGCGCCATCCATTTTCAGGGCTAGTTGCTTCGGTAGGTGAGTTGTTACACTCCTTAGCGAATTCCGACTTCCATGGCCATGGCAATGTGGAAAGCAAATGGAAAAACTACCACATTATCACTTTTCCTGGATAGTCTCTTTCCAAAAACAGAGATACCATGTATGCGAACATAAGACGAGGAAAAAGACGTAAGAAGATGCTGGATGACCTTGGGGACAGAAGAGGATATTATTATTTGAAGGAGAAAGCTTGAGATCGCATTAAGTGGAGGAACTGTTTTGGAAGAGACTGTGGACCTGTCGTCTGACAGATTACTGATGATGAATTCCAAAGAAACACGAAAGATTTGGAATAAAAATTTACAAGCTTTGCGATTCTCTGGGCTATACATATGACATGACTGTTTATTTTGGGAAACAAAGGCAACTTGCAACCGAAAAAATTACACCAACCCATGGCATTGTTCTCCAGCTAATTCGAAGAGTAGAAGGCTCAGGACACAAACTTTATATAGACAGCTATTTCAGTTCCCCTGCATTGTGTGATGATCTTCTAGAGTGTAAAATAAATACGTGTGGCACCGTTCACAATGACAGGCGTGGAATGCCACAAGAAATTCGGCCAAAATCAATGAAACTGAAAAAAGGGGATATTGTGACAAGAGTGAAGGGGAATCTAAGTGTTGTTCATTGGAAAGACAAGCATGATGTGTATCTTCTGAAGAATATGCACCCTCCTCCATTGGATGGCAACTTCCGAGATGAATGTGGCCGTGCTATCAAACCTCATGTAATTGAAGAAAACAATGTACACATGGGCTTTGTGGACAAATCTGATAGAATGGTGAACAGGTATGGCATTGCTCGGAGGACAAGAAAATGGATGAAGAAATTATTCTTCCACCTCCTAGACATGACTATTCTCAATGCATATCTGTTACACAAGTCATGTGATGGAAAAATGACGCACAAAAAATTCCACAAAATTTTGGTGTGTGATTTGATTCTTCAATCACATGAGGCGAATATCACGGTCAGTGACGTTTCTCGGGGGAGGCCAAGTTCATCTGGGGCCCAACTGAGTCGACTGGAGGTGAAACATTCAAAACACTGGCCAGCTAAAGGGAAACAAAGACATTGTCTCGTTTGTTCTATAAACAAGAAAAGCAGGAGCAGGCTTTTCTGCTGTAAAAAGTGTGATGTTGCGCTGTGTGTGGTGGACTGCTTCGAGAAATGGCACACGCACGTCAGAGTGTAAACTGTGAAGTGACGCAGTCCAAACCGTGTACAGTCCGAACAAAATATTATTGTATATAGTGTCATCATATTTATATCACAACCACAATTCAAGGTTGAAGAAAAACAACGAGTAAGTACTTTAGAAATTCATAACGTATATAATAACGATTATATTTTGAATTTCATGACAAAATAATCACAGTTAATTTTCATTTGTAAAACTTGCCCTTTTGTGTATATGTAGAAATTTTTATTGCCTTTCAGGTTCTTTTTAGTTCATATTCTGATGTTGCATAGAATGGAAAATATGCATTTATTTCTGAAAGTCTGCACTGTTAAAGACTTGGGGCCATTTAAATTCTGGCCGTAGGAGCTGCCGGCAAGTTAAAAGTCCATACATTAAAGGTTAAGATCATTATTAATGCCAGTGTAATGCTTAAAATGTTACATATCAAAACATTAACTTTCTGTAATTACTTAGTTATATTCTTTGTCATTTTAGATGGGGAATTTCATCTCAATTTTTTCATTAATGTGATTCTGATTTAAGGGATTTGAAGTTTTCACAATAATGACGATTCTGACTGTGCTCTTCTGGGTTATGACAACATGCAATAAGGTAGAACTTAACCTGAACATGGAGGCAGCAATTTTCTCTTGTAAGTCAATAAAACTTAACAGACAACCCAGAAGACCATAACCTTAATTCTGTTTTCTTACTATTGTTCCCAACTATGCCACATTTTTAAGGACTTATTAGCTGTCTTTATACTATTATGGTCCTGCATCCTAGCTGTGACTGTGAAACAAAATACTGCTGATTGACCAACTACATCTTGGAAGTTACAGTATGTGTAAGGTAATTTTTAAGATTATGGTCATTTGCAATGTAACACCAACTAGTATAATTTCAGTTAGGCGTCTGAAAGTAAAAAGTGTTCAGACTGTATTTCTCGACCAATGAAATCAACATAAGAAAACATGTAATAGGCAATTAAACAATTATTTGACAGATTATCTGAAGAATCATTACAACCCTTTTTATCTATTACCAAAAAGGGAAGGGAAGAGGCATGGAGACAGACATTCACATATTCTAAGCCATAATACTACATGAGCTGAGTGGTCAGCCTTACATTACAAATATTTTACCATCAAGGAGAGTGCAATCAGTGTCCAGGAGAAGGGCAGATCTCAGGGCCCATTGGAACAAGGTGGCAATAAGATAAAAGTTCTGTTCCCGCCAGGTACAAGACCCCAGGCTGGCCAGTCCACAGCCAGTCTCTCTACCAATTTATTTATTCATTCTGGATCATTCTAAACATAAGAAATGTGGGAATAAATTGGGCTACTGAATAAGAATATTATTCCACAGTAGCATTTCAGGCATTTCAACCTATGCTACTCATTACGGAGTACTGCATTCAATTCCAGGTGACTTCATGTGAGATTCATGGTTGTTGATGTGGCACTGCAGAAGGTTTTTCTCCAACTTTCTTTGGTTTTCCCATGCTAATCATTTCACCACCATACTCATCTATTACTGTCCCCTGAGATGTGTGATCATGCTGACCAGGCAGCACATCAACTATTTGGTCTTTAAGTTGGAGGCTTCATCTCTAGCCAGTACTTGGCTGGTTACGTGAAGTTGGTGGAGTAATGGATATTAGGGAAAGAGACCTGTTAAAAATCCATTCCAATACTGCATGTCTTGCATGTCTTTCACACATACCTCTTCTTGGAGATTGATGTAAGTCTGCCCTGAGGATCCTCCAAGCCCTTTGGTTCCACCAAGGCCCTCCAATATAGCTTCCATAAGTTGTTCAGGTGATTGTGACAAGCCCTGAGCTGTGACACAACAGCCATTCAGTCCTGGTGCTGTTTGCAATGATGTAACTTGTGCTAAAAGTTCGATGTATTCTGGATAGGCTTTTCCTAATGGTAAATTGAGAAAAGCAATTGTATAGTGTGATCCACCAATAACTGCATAAAAAGAAACTGAGGTTCTGATGCCATGCAAATTTTTAATCACTGTCTATCACTCCTTTCCTTCTTAATGCATCTAAAAATTTTAAAGAACTTGAGACTACACCCAAAAGTGTTGGTGTTCCTCTATTACACAGTATCACTGTCAAACTGCTGAGATCCTTGTAAAATTCAACATTGGAGACTTTCACTAAAAGTTGTTGAACAATTCAGATTCTCAGCCACAGTAATCCATAAGAAAGCCTGCTTTACACAAGGTCACATGTGAACTTTTTCATATATATCATAAATTGTTATTCAAATATTGATGAAATTTGATGTGCAAGGCCTTTGCATAATGTTAAATGACCACTTTGACCTTTAGAAAAATAGTGACCAATTAGAAAGCCTATCTTCTACAAAACCATAAATGGACATTGCCATGTAACCCATACCTGTTTCACAGATTTTGTTGCACATTGATATTATTCATTATTATGCTCCTGGCATATGAATTTTGCGATTTGCTGAAGTGCTGTTCAAAAATCAGCCATAAATATGCTTATTAAAATGCAAAGAACACAGCCAGCAATTCTGTATACTACATCATCAAATACACTCTTTCCAATTTTAAGTGCCAATGTTACCAGCCTATCTGCACCATTACATCTACACCGAATAATGTAGTCCTAAATAATCAAATTGATGTTGATTCTGAAAAACTGTGGCACAAGGTCTTCCTTTGGCACATCTTCATCTGATTTGATTTAATACCCCGAGATATTTTATCATTTTCTTAACTCCCCCCATGGCATATGTTTGTTTATTAAATTGTACTAGCTTTGTGAGTAGTTCACTTGCTAACAGAAAAAAGCTAAAGAATCTACCAACATTAACAAAAAAGGCTTACGTTGGTCAATGTGATTCAGAAGGCTGGAGCAGAGCTGAAGACAAAACCGAGTAGAGAGATGGTTCAACATAGATACAGCCTGTTGTTGGGTTTCAACTGCTTCTTCTCCAGCACTACCATCCTTACAGAAAAGCAGCAGTCCCAGAGGGTAGAAGAACTTAGACATGTGTTTTAACAGAAGATTCTCAAGGTGATCAACTGGCAAGGAGTGACTCAACCAAAATTCAATACCCTGTCCATCAAAAAAGCAAACAACTGTAATACAAGTTACATTTTATGTAAATAGTAGTAACAGAGGTCTCCAAGAGCCAGATTTTTCTTGCATATGAATACTGAACTCTGAAGGGGGAGGGGGGTTACACACACACAAAGTCTAAGTGAGAAATCATTATTGGAGAATGAAAAAATCTTTCATTTATTCACGAATATTTTCTAACACTCCTTATTTATCCACAGATGCCAAAAAGTAAACTTGTAAACAAGTAAGACGTTCTTACCATTATATGATGAATGGTGCCAACTGGCAAAGTTGGAAGCATGACCTTGAGCCCTAAAATGTTTCCTTCTAAGAGGCAGTGATGCATCATTCTATCAAGATGCTGTCCATGAGATGGAATATGCATTTCAGTAGAGTACAAGTTGATGAATAATTTTGTATAATAAGAACCTTCGTAATGTTAGGTATGAATAAAACACAAAATTCATGTTGCCACAAGCATGCACATCTGCACGTGGGCATTACTAATGAAACATATGGGACAGCATTTTGTACGTCTTTTATGCCAGTGGTTTCCAACCTCTGTGAGACCACGGCCAAGTAATTTCTTTTTTTATAAGATGAGGGTCCAGTATAATTGATGACAGGTCCTGGTACTGGGCCGTGGTCCGGCGGTTGAGAAACACTGTTTTATTCTATGCAATTATAGCAGCATAAGTAAGAGCAGTTTCCCTTGTGGAGACATGTCAGACAAGTAAAATATCTGTCTGGCAGTGAAGCACTGCGTGCACGCATGCATGCATACAAACACACCTGCACACACCTTTTCATATTTAGTAACACAGATCATTGTGCTGTCTGAGTATATGCCAATTTTCAAACTAACTGACCAATTATTACCACAAAGTTTGATATCAACATCACATTCTGGGCCATTTTAATTTCATATTCTTCAGTTTCCTACAATTTATAACAACAACGTGAATGGACGCACAAACTTGTGAGGTAGGTACAGGAGTAATGCCATTTAAGACACGGTCCTGAAATGATGTACAATAAAAATTTCTGAAAAATATGCAACTCTTATTAATGTAACTTTTTTCAGGGCCAGAATTTTGTCAAAGCACTAGCAATTATAATAAAAATTTATAAGGCAGTAAGGCATCATTAACTTATGGTAGTGAATCATGGACAATAGGAACTTATGAGAGAAGAATGCTATGAACAGAAATGCTTTTCATAATGGTCATGGGATAAACCCTTTCAGCCATAAAAGAACTGACGAAACTATGAGAGAATTACAAATTCCGCAAATTACATAATCTACAGAATATAGGAAAAAGATGAATGAATATGTTAACAAGAAGAGCTCTGGCAGGATTCCAAAATATATCTTAAAATAAAAACTAAACACAAGTTCGGACAACTGCTGAAAAGATGAAAGGATTCTCACTTGTTCTATGCATAATAGGTCTCAATAGGCCTAACACGGGACAGTATGACGACAATGACTGCTGTCATGACCAGTTAAGTGTATAATAAACATACCTGCTGCAGCAGTCTGCTCATCATAGCATGACTATCTTCTTCCATCACAGAGACATAATACTCAACGACTGCCGCAGCTCGACCCACCATGTCCTTGCATGTGTTAGTCTCAGCTGACTGGTTTGAGGTGTTACCCTCATCAGTTGCATCTGCTTGCTGTATGCTGTTTCCATACATCATTTTGGACGGTGCAGTATCACTTGCTGTACTTCGAGATACCAAGTCAGTTTGTTCAGGTTTCAAATTCTCAGAGAATGAACTATTAAAAGTGTCATCTGTTGATTTCACGGAAACTCCATCATCAAGGGCATTCTCTGGTATGTGAAAGTCTCTGTCACTAGAACAAACTTTAAGTTCATTCTCATAGTTTTCCAAGTCTGTTTTATCAGAAGATAACTGTTTTGTACTAATAACATTTATCTCTAAAGATCTTATTTTTGGCTCATCATCAGTTTCAGTGACTGTACTTGGTGTTTTAGCCACATTATTTTCGGTGCTTGAAAATGACACCGTTTTACTAAAAGGTGTCAATTTTTCTTCAGCAACAGAGTAACTTGCATGCAAACTATCTGAATCCTTAGGGCATGGCAATTCTATGGAAAGATCCAATATTTGCTGAAATTTACTACAATCTGACTTTGTGACCTGCCCGCCATCAGCAGCGTCAAAAACACCTTTATTATCAACAATTATATGTAGATCATTACATGGAAATGTTTTGTTCAGAGCGTATGCTTTGCAGACCGTTCCATGTAACGAATCTGAAGTCACAATCAATTCATTTTCTGGTGTGTCTTCTTGATTACACACTCTGTTAGCCTGCTTTTCCACCTCCCTCTCTTCATTACTTACACCTCCCTTCTCCCCAGATTCATTTACTATAGATACAACATTACTCTCTACTGTAAGAGTAAGTGTATCAGAATTGCTCTGGAGTCCAACTGCACCATTATGAAATCCTGAATTAACATCCGAGTCCCGGAGCGCAGTTTCCTGCTTAATTTCTATAAATGATTCAGAATTTCCAGTTGAGCTTGTGTAACTGTTTAATAATGAAGTTAAACTGCCAATTAATTCTGTTTCACATTTGTTAGAATTTTCTTCGCCAACTTCAGAAGAAATAACTTGATTTTGAATATTTCCATTTTCATTTATCGGAATCAAGTTCACACTTGCATTCTGGGAACTTTGTTCATTTACATGGGGAACAAAGGGTTCAGGGCTCAGAAGACCCTGCTCTTCACTTACTAGTGGAGATGTAATGGAATCAGGACTTGTTAAGTGATGTCCCTCTGACATCTGCTCTGTTCCTCCCTGGACAGCAAATGCATGAATCTCACTGTCATTAACATTTGTTGCAATTAAACTTTCAGGGGTAGAGACAGAACTACTTGTTTCAACTTCTTCTTCTATTGGACTTACATGAGTTTTTCTACTTAAGTGATCCAATGGTTTTGCCAACAAGTTTGTCTGCTGCTTTGAATCTTCAGGTTTCAATCTCTCTTCTTTTTCAGATTCAGTTTTCATTGTATCTGTGCTACACTGCACCAAGGGCAATTCTGGATTTGGTTTTAAATCTTCATTATGCTTGATACAAATCCTGTCACAAGGAGGAGAATTATCATCTCTCACAAACTGATTTCTTTCAGATTCATTCTCTGAATTGCGCAACAAATCAATCCTGGAATTTCTCTGATTCCTGTTTTCAACTTCAGTCATGGATTCTGACCCTTTTCCAGTTTTGGATTTTGTGATTATCTTGTTTTTATAGTTACTATTTTGAGGGACATTGATCATATCTGACTGATCTTCACAGTTTAATATATTTTCTTCAGCATCAGCTGTGTCTGAGACTAAAGAGCCCCTTCTCATTTGGTTGGCAGTAATATCACCCATACCTTCAACACACTCAGCTCTATTTTCAGTGCAGCTGCTGATATCAGCAGTAACTTCAGTACTGACAACTTCATTTACCAAGTTACTATTACTTACAGCATTTTCAGTGACATTAGTTTTGCTGTTAGCTGAACCATTCCCATAGTAACTGTTGCTCCCTAGGTGCTGAACTGATACACAACTGGAATTCACATTTGTAACATGAGCTTTAAATTGTTCTTTGTAATTTATTATTATGGGATTCGAATTTCTATCTTTGGCTGCATTAATCACATTGGAATTATCTGAGAAATCTGTACTGTTCATTTTGTCTTCATTTGAACAGTCCAAAGATACTCCATTGCTGGCTGTCTCATTTGAACTTTTTGTAAAAGTTCTGTCTGAATTTGAGTTCTTTTCACAAGTTTCTTTGCTAAGGTCTGAACAATGATTTTCAGGATGTTTTTCTGCATTGAAGCCAAATTCTTGAGTCGCCAATGCCAGCGCTTTCAACTGATAAGCCAAAGCAAGGTGATAATGCCTATCCAGTGCTGCCAACTTTGCAGCTCCTTGGTAGTTTTCCAGTATAAGGCACTAAAAGAAAGAACATCAACTGAGAATTGCACAATACAGAAACGTTACATTAAAATTAACAGCATATATACATTCCTCCATACAACTTCATGGTGTAGTGCTTAATTAGTTAAGTACAGGGACAACTTTACTCTTTTACATTAAAATTAACAGAAAGTGTACTACATAATCACAGTAATACACTTTGATGCTATTTGCTCTTTAGCAAGCAACCACATATGAAGGAAATCAAAAACAAATGAAATAAATAAATATAAACCTTTCACCAGGAATTTACACAGATCTATACACCACCAAGCAGCAAATGTGAAAGAAAGGACTGGAAAAGCTTTATATGCTAATTTATTAAAAACAATTAAAATAATTAATACAAACATAAATTCACCTTATTCAGAAGGTACACAGAATCATAATAGCCATGGAAATGTTGAAAAGCATAATGCAATGTGCGTAAACCATAGCAAGGTTCTTCTATGCTACACAAAGGTGGACAAAGCTCTGTATAAGCCCCTTTTGAATAACCACAGCATCCACCAAACTGAAACAAGAAAAGGTCAATATACTGTGACTGTTACCAGCAGAAGCCAGATATAAAATGGAAATGCCTCACATGCAACAAGGGAGACCTGTCTCCAAACATATCAATTAAGGAATAAAAAATATGAATAACCAGCAAAAGACTACAGTTTTCATTCTGTAATCTTGCACTTCACAAATATGGTTCCCAGTAAGCAGCAAACCTGAATACACATATACAAAGTAAAATGCAAAAGTGATCCAGATCAATATTAAGGAAAAATATATAACATTTATATTTATGACTGGATTAAAAACATATGTAATATTGATTTCATTGGTTATATTCTAATATTACTTTCTCTTTAAGAATGAGTACATGTTCTGCTAAACAATCAATCTAATACATAACTGAATGATCAATCAATAAATCAATCAGCCAATCAACTAATAAACTGAAAAATGAATATCTAGCACAAAATCCTGTCACTTAACCCCATCCTAAGCAGGGTGAGCTATAAAAAGTTGTGTAAAAAATACAGGATACATCCACAAATTAAAATCTAAGAGCTCTCATTGCTGACAAACCAAAGCATTCAGGTCAAATAACATAAAAACTAGGAGGGAAAATTTCAGCAGTTTCACAGAGACAAATGTCTTTCATTTATAGTTAATTAAATGACATTTAACTCATATTTATAAAAGCTAATTACTTACTCCTGAGAAACTGTCATATTTGAAGGAAATGGTGGAATTTGGGAGGCCAGGCACAGCTTTGGGAATATCACTTGAATTCTGACTTCCATGAGGAAGCTTGATAACACGTTTCGTTGTCTTCAGCATCACAAGTTTCCCTTCCAGACCTTTGGATTCTTCAACAGGCACTCGACCAAGCTAATAAACACATAATTTCATTGAAAAAATAAAAATGATATAATTATATGCCAGTGGTCTAATGACACTACAAAAAGTTAGGTTAGTCTAATTCACAAGTTCCTTAAGTGTGGTTTCTGAACCCCTTGGGTATGGCTGCTCTATTTTTGCTCAGAAACAAGACATTTTTTCCATCAGCCTCGTTAAGATGCATCTTTAATCTTTAATTCCTGGGACGAAAATGATCTACAAAACACAAAACAGTGTTTTGTTGTGTTCATATGAGCCAGATGTTTGTGTCAGGAAAGATAAAAAGAAAGAAATAAATAAAAAACAAATATTAATTAGAGAAATTCTCACAAAGCTTTTCATTCTAATCCTGCGGTCATGTATTCTACAGTCCATTCCAGCTTGACCTTCTCAGGGCACTACAACAGCCAACCACATCATGGGGTTAAGGGCAGTCTTAAGCTGAGGCCCTTAGTTGTCGCTTGAAAGTGGCACAAAACATTTCTATTCTCAGCAGTTCAGTGGAATGCAGTGTTTGCCACATTCCATACCTTACCAAACGAAAAAGAGAGGTTTGAAAAATGCTAAACATGTGGTACATAAACCAGGTAGGGGAATCAAATGCAGTATATGACAGCAATGCACAGGACAAAGATGAGGACAAAAGGATGACAATGTGCTAGCTCAACCTTTGCCCAGTTTTGAAGGTCACCTGGCAACACCTGTCAGTTTGGCTCTGTACTGAGTGACCCAACTGCAATTGGTCTACCCCACACTTCCCATCTTCTTGTTTTGTGTTCTTCTGATTGGTTTTCAATCAGATATCAAGAGGAGAGGAAAAAAATTTTATCTTCAAGGAAGGGGTTCTTAAGTTAACAAGGATTTTGGAACCACAGCCCTAGTTTGCACCTGGTTTTCTTGCATGAGCTGAAAGTCATAAAGAACCAGTGCAGTTGAACTGACTTCAACTCCTTACAGTGAAAACCTACACTTACCTGAGGCTGTGCATGAAAGAATTTTTGATGAAACTGATTACTGTTTACAGGGGGGAAGAAAGTTAATATTTATTGATGTTATTTGTGCATGTGTGGCTAAATAACTAAACTAATTCCATGGGCAGAGTTCTTCCTGAGACACTAATCGTTGCTCAACGGTCAAGAAATTCTACATACTTTAAGGAATTTGAAAATTCATTATTATGTTTACAAAAGCCCACTATTGGTCCCCATCCTGAACCAGATGAGTCCAATCCACATTAGCACACCCTGTTTGAATATGATCCTCATATCTATACCCACATCTTCCAAGTGGTCTCTTTCCTTCAGATTTTCTGAATAAAATTTTGTATGCACTTCTTATGACTCCATGTGCTAAATGTCCCACCAAGCTCATCCTTTTTTGTTTTATCATCCTAATAATATTTGTTAAACAGTACATATTAGAAGTTTCTCACATGCAATTTTCTCCAGTCTTCTGTTACTTCTTCACCCTTGGTCCCAAAAGCCTCCTCTGCAAACCTAACCTATAATGCCTTCAATCCAGTCATGTATGCAATTAATTAAGCTACAGAAGTAAGGGTAGGATACATTTCCTAAAGCCGTCCCACTACAATGACAACATAACCAAAATGCTGTACACTCTTTTTCACATACAATCCTCTGTAGGCCAAGTGATGACATAATAACCATTTCATTCAATATGGAAGAAATGCTACTATTAAAATTTATGTCGAAGTAATTTAAAATTCATTTTGGTTAAATGTGTTCTAATTGATAAAATCTGTGCCTTAACATGATAGTTGAGCCAATTTTAAACCTATTAATTGGTGAATACAGTTCTCTGTAATGAAATGAATATGACAGCCCCACCAGATACAACATATGTTAAACCTCTTTAATAAATCATTCAATTCATCATACAAGTTTTAGCTACAATCTTTCCATCTTCAGAGGTGTCTGTTTCACATTACACTAATATAGCACAATTAAAATGAGATACAAAAGTCTCACAATTTTAGATGTCTGATACATGATTCTTGATATAAAATAATGACCCATTTTATTAATAAGTTGGAATCAGCATTCTTCTGGTTGTTTTGCACATCTGAAATATGATGTTTTCATTTGTTAATACGTATTTGCGCTAAGCAGGACACCCCATCCCCCACCAGTGGTGACATAACAGCATTGGAGTGCTGCCGCTGCTACAGTAACAGGTCAGTCAACACTCCACCCCCCTCCCCCTGCGGTGACGTAACAGCACTTCCCACTGTGAATTAACACGAGACACTGCTCTTGACACAGGCAACAGGGAATGGTATAGAAAGCTGGCTGAGCAGTATGTGATGAGAGTGTGTGAGCAGGAGTGACACAGTGTGGATCGTGAAGTTGCTGAGTGCAGCAGAAGTCTAGCAGTCGCCAAGAGCAGTGGATGTAATTGTGAATTGTGTGGGTGTGAGAGCGAGAGTTAAATAAATTTGCTACATCCAAGACGGCATGAAGTTATTTGTCGCATTATACACCGAACACGTGACAATACTTTAATGCTTGTAATTATAACACAGTAAAAATTATATTAATATAATTATTTAGAATTTCTCTTTCTTTGAATTTTCTTGTTATGTCATATCCTGAAAATACTTCCAGGTTAATTTTAGCCATTAAAGTTCTGTTTCCTATTTGCTGCCCTGTTAACTGGCAAAGCACAAAGGTCAATTAATAACAGCTTCATCCATGGTATTGAACTGTATTGACTATTGTGCCATGTAGACCCATTACTGGGCAATGACTGCAAGATATACAAATATACAACAGTCGTTACTAAGAAATGGCTTTGCAAACAAGTGTGTTTCCATGGCAACAATAAGATACAGCAAACAGAGAAATGGTGTGTTCTGTGCAGTCAGTGCCAAGATGTTATAAGCAGGAAAGTTAGTGAAGCAAAGAACAGCTGGTTGGTGAGTTGGTGAACTGCTGAGGTTCAGTCATTGTGAGCTGTTTCTGTGAGAAACTGTTAGCTGAGGCTGGGGATAGTTCAGGAACCCAGGGGATTGGGCAATGTCCACTACTGAGCAACGGCTAATGAAGATATGACTGTGGACACTAGTGTGTGTGTGTGTGTGTGTGTGTGTGTCTGTGTGTGTGTGTGCGTGTGCACGCATACGTGCATGTAGTGTAGTGTAGTTACACACTGTATCATGTGATACTATCTTATACTATGTGTTTAGAGTTCTATTTTCTGCACAGAATACCAAAGTTCAATCAAAAATAAGAAATTCTCACTTCATTCTTCATCACGGAGTTCTTTCAATTATTTGCAGATGTAAGCTGTAGATAAATTTGTTCTTGTGCATTTTTTCTCCATCTCTAAAAAAATGTTATCTATTTTACACCTAAACTGTTGATAATATGGTTCTTGCATATTTTCTCACTGCCACTAAAGAGATGTTCTAAATTTTCACAGTTCTGTACTTCTCAGTTTTTTGTGTCCAAAGCCCCTTCTCTTTGCGGTATTTTCTCACACAGAAAGAGCATCACACTCTTTTTAACAATTCAGGATATATTGTGTCCATTATAGCAATTCCTTTGGATGATGCTGCAAAGCTGTAAAAACAGAACAGCATTCTTGGTGACCTTGACTGTTCCTCAGTTATGTAAGATTCAAAGCTGGAGAAGTATAAAAGACTTCGAATTCACGCTTTGTATAACTCTTGTAAAGTAACATTTGAGATAGAAATTAATTTCAAACTTTAAATATAACTTCACTGATCAAGGGCTTTACACATCCAGCGGAAAGTAACATTCAAATAAGAAATCAAACTATAATTTTAAAAGGAAAGTATTTTAGAAAATTCTGAAAAAATAAATCATAGAAAATAATGGGTAAACATGATATAAAGACTACGGGAAAAGGGAGACATACAAAACTAAGACAATTAAGAACGATTCTATTGGCAGATGATAATGCACAAGAACTGATGATTTTTGTACCTACGTAGGCGAGTCAAATGAAAACCTTAAATATTTTATGAGTATTATTTATTGTGCACAAGTGGTACAAAGCTGTATCACTTTTCAACATAATCTCCCCCACGCTCAATGCAAGTCATCCAGAGCTTACAAAGTGCATGAATTCCTTTAGAAAAAAATTCTTTTGGTAGTCTGCGCAACCAATCATGCACCGCATGGCATACCTCTAATGTTTAAACTTGCTGCAATTTCATTCAATGTCACTTGGCGGTTTTCCCTCACTATGGCTTCAACTGCTGCAGTGTTCTCTGGAGTCACAACTCGATGTGCCTGACCCAGACGAGGAGCATCTTCCACTGAAGTCACACCATTTGCAAACTTCCTACTCCATTCGTACTGTGGGTTTTTTTCGTCTTGTGTTGTTACTTCAATGACAACCCATTTCTTCGGAACAGTTTGTAGGTCCTGAAAAGGACCATGGTTGCTGAGATGCTTGGCCGGAAAGTAGCGCGGCGCGCGCCAGTAGGAAGGGATATTGGTTGCGGTGTGGACTGGCCGCAGTGCGGCCGTGGCTTGATTGCAGTGCGGCAGATTGTGGTGGTTGCTTGATCGCAGCGTGGCAGCTGCTGGTGAAAGTCTGGTCATTGAGCGCGGTCGCTGGAGCGGAGAGGCAGTAGTTACGCCAGTTGCCCAGTGTGTCGGGCATGACTACCGGCGAATCGAGGCGGCCTATTTGCCCAGTGAGTCGGGTGCGACTGCCGGACAGCCATTCCTGGTGCAGTGCCGAGCTGATGCCTCCGAAGACCAAGAGCTGGTGACGAAGCTTGCTGGCTGATGTTGCTTGAGTGAAGTTTGATCGAGGTCTGCTTGTCAACTGATGCTGCCGGTTTGGAGCTGCTCCTTTTTATACAATGCTCGGTGGGCAGAGCAAAACTTGAATTTGAGGAGCAAGAATTTGCTGAGTGCTGATTGGCTAAGAATGAGGAGCAGGAATTTGCAGCGCGTGCTGGTATAAATATGAATGAGACGTCCGGCAATGCGATATTCACTAAGGAGTGAGTGTTGCCTAAAAGACTGGTGGAAACAGCATGCTATGTGGGATGTCCCCACAGTACACTTTCTGATGTGATAAACATGCATCACCATACTGAAACTTCATTCTTCGATAAATTTCAATAGGTTTCACACCTTCACTACACAAAAACCGAATAACAGATCGCTGTTCTTCCCTGGTGCAAGTCTCAAGTGGGGCAGCCATCTTATACTGGTGCTGTGACGGTGTTCGTGCATCTGCACTATGCTGCAACCTACAGGCCATTCTGCACGTTATTTGTAGCACGCTTACCAACTTACAGGATAATGGCGTGAAATTTCGATTTTTTATTACAAATTTAAGGTTTTCATTTGACTCACCCTCGCATAATTCTTTCATCTTTCTTAGCGTCAGTCTTAAACATACCTGAGCTTGAGAATTGCTGCCCCATGCCCAAATTTTTCCTGCAGATGTACTCTCTTGTGCAACTGTATATTCACACCCACAAGAAACTTGGCGTAGCCTTAGTTTCTCTCCTCCATTAATAACTCCAGAAGAAGTTGATTTGGGTATTGCAGAAGACTGTGAAGATGATGATGAATTCTAGAACAGAGTACTACAATGCTGACTTTTCTGATTCATTGTTCTGTTTTATTGCAAAGATAATATCAACTTATTATAAGTAATTCGTTTGAATTCAGGGATTAAATGACATTCAAAATGACAAAGTAAGTACACTCCATTGCCTACAGGTAAATGATTCTTAACTCCATGAGGTCCATTTACTTCAGTTAGTTGGATTATACAGTGCTGAATACTGGCTACTTGTAGATTATACAAAGAAATGATAGTTGATGGCAAGATAAAGGTTTATTTTTTATAAAATAAGGAGTAATGAGCTTTCCTGTAACTGAAAATGTAGCTATGATAACACTATTTGAGAACAGTAATTCAGTGAATAAATATAGGAAAGAAACAGCAAATCAGGGGGTTAATATATGACATCTAACCAAGCTCAAAGGGACAAAGAAACTGTTCAGCTTCATGTCAGAAAATGATGGCACTTTGAAATGGAGAGTCTAATAACATAGATATTAATGATGCTGATAGCGATAACAGTAACAGTAATTGGAAAGCTTTGATTGTTGACACTGACAGTAAGTGCCATGGTCAGTGTTACTCTCAGTCCATAAAAAATAATGAGAAACAGTAAGAGAATATTGGATATTATAAAAAAAATCCAATTTATAACACAATTTTAAAACCTGTTAACTCCTATGTATGTTCTCAACAAAGCAATTAAGTTAAGCAAATGAACAAGAAATAAAAGTACTTTAGTTAAGAAAATGCCTGTCATTATGACTGCTAATATTTGTCTCACATCCATTCTCCACCTTTATTACAGTAATGAATGTCACATTTCAATTTACCCTAGTACTTGAAGTAGCAGAAGGAGCTGGAGATGTTAATGGTGTTGGTATCGGGATTTCTTTCCTTGTCCCACTGCCCAACTGACCATCAAGATTCCGTCCCCACATATAAAGAACACCGTCCCTTGTCAGAAGAGCTGAATGATGGCAACCACAAGACACCTGCCACTCATTAAGAATACAGCCATAAGAATATACTAGGATTAAAATAAATTCAAAACAAAATTCATAAATACAATAACTCAAACATCAGTAAATTCCATAAACAACTGCAAGAACAACAAAATGGAGAAAGCACACTGTGTTCTTTGATCTGATTCTGTGAAATGAAACAACCTACACCATAATTATAACAGATTCTGATAAAGCAACTGTAATTGTCATATTTTCAACATTATTTGTTATTAATTTGCTTTTTTCTCAGTTACACTTCATGTGGCAAGAGACTGCCACAGAATTCTTACATGTCTTTAGCCCACTTACCCTATTCTGTAAGGAAACTGACAGACATGGGATGCCATGTCTTGTAACACTCACTCAAGCAAATCAAGGAATTTTCCACATTTTACAGAATCTGAGGTCCATTACCAGGACCTATCACTGGACCCTATTCTGACAAATCCATCCCACATCATCACATTAATTGCTTCAAATCCATTTTAATGTAATCCTCTTAACTTTCATCCATTATATGTATACAGTGGCTGTCTTGTGGCCACTTAACTTTACTTAGAGACCAAAGTAAAGCTTAGGTCATTCTGAAAAATCCATTTAAGTTCAAGGAACTGTATCACATTTTGTAACATGCCAGCCCCAATACTCAACCTTGAGGACCACAACTCCCTGACTCTTCCATCCATAACTCAAGGATACACCATGCTGCGGTGACAGAGCACTTACTGAACGTGGTATATAATAATCTCACCTTCAATACCAGCAACTTCTCCTCCTTCACAATGAATTAAAACACACAGACACACACACACACACACACACATATATATATATATACTTTACCTGAATAATGCGGCCCACTACAAGTGATGTGTCGACAAGTTGAGGTGTAAGATGTGACTGCCCATTGTCAATAGGCTCTGATCGAGCAGACTGGTTGTCTGACTTTGTATCAGGAGAAGCCTAAGGTGTAAAAAAAAAACTGGTTGATTACAAATAAACACTGCCAGAATTTTAAGCAATGTGCTGCAGGGGGAAATATAAAAAGTAGCATCTCTTTTAACCTCTCCTACCTAACAACTGTCTTTACCATGTATTAATGGTGAATGGGTGAGGGGAACACTTGCAATTGGTTGTGCCAACTGTCCTGAGCTTGATGCTAATCAATGAGAGGTACCTCAGAAGCGACATAAGCTGGTTGGCAAGGGTTACGGGAAGAGCACTGCATGTACCTCTGGATCCTACATGAAGTCAAAATAAACCACACCTTCGCATGGTGCATGGTACTCTAGACCATTTTAATGCAACTATCAGTATATTCATCATTCATGAGGTGATTTTTAAATATTACACAAACCTTCTTTTAATGAAATAATAAAACTACAACTCCAAACCAATTTCCACGACTGAAATCAAATTTTGAAAATTATATGCCTCCATGGAATTGAATATAAGACTTCATTAGCACTCAAATCAAAACTAACCTAAAATACACCAAATTACTGAACTGATTTATGTGAATGTTTACATGTATCTTCAGAAATTAAGTTAGTTTTCAGTTGAAAGCCAGGATTGGTCAAATTCAAAACAATTACATTACGTATAAAACAATACAGAAACTTATTGGATTAATATTTACATGGAATTTATAAATGTTGTGTGTGAATCTAATTAAATGATGGAACACAAAATCCATTTTTCCTTGCTGATATTTAATAATATTTACAGCCACGGTTTCACTAAATATGATATGAACTTATGTTTTCAAGTATGGAGAACACCAGAAAGAGATGAAAGCCACGGTTTCACTAAATATGTTATGAACTTATGTTTTCAAGTATGGAGAACACCAGAAAGAGCTGGCAAAAAAGTGAAAAAGAAAATGTGGGAAGATAGGAGAGCCTCAGAAATTTTTATTCACAAACCAATATAAAATGGAAACAATGCTACAAAAGGAAGACAATTGTTTACTTCAATTTCAGTGTGTATTATGCAAAATCATGTCACTTAATATATGATGTCTGAATACATAATCCATCAGATCTGAGTGTGTTATTTTAAGCTTGAGTATCATTATAGAGAGTGGTCTATTTGAGGCTTTTGAAATTGTGTAACTAAGGCTCCTGCAGCAACTCCATCAATCTCATCATTTAAGTGTGACTAGCAGACAGGGAACCTTAAGGGTAATCTTTTTGAGAGAAGTTACCTTGCTTTCTCAACCAAAAGTCTCATTTTTTTGTTTTCAACTGAATTTTGAACTAAACAATATTTATCCATGAGCAACAGAACCACTCACTGATTTTTTATTATATAACCATGTAAGCCTGATATGTAACTCAATGGTACATCTGTAGTATAGATTGATAACCCTTCATTTTGTCCCTGTACCAATCTGGTAAAAGAAACCCTTTATGTAGTTAATATATGGGGTTCTCCACATCTAGAAGAGCAGAGGTGCTATTCAAAAATACTAAAATTTTACAATGTTTCAAGTTTCTTAGTATTGCAGTATACAAGCAATTTCAGCTTCCAAATAGCACCATAAAACTCTTTTTTTTTTTAAGTTGCAATCTATTATTTTTGGTGTGTGAGTAATTAGTTTAGACACATATGCATAAGTGATAGTACCACATCTGACACCAAAAAGAAATGATTTAGTTAGGTGACTGACATATATTTGTGCAAACTCTTGCTCTGAAAAATTCTAACACAAACACATATAAAGAAAAAAAGTATCTTTTAAAGAGATTTACATTTGTAACATATAGTTTTCAAATTTCAAACTTTTTATTTTGCACTATTAAATAATGGAACTGAACATCCTATTCATAATGAACTACTTACTGCATTTCATTTTACTCATTACAGAGTGAAATATCTAAAAATATGAAGTCAATATTCAGTGTTGCATATACAACAGTGTACAGGTTTTATCTGTGATTGTCTTGTGACTGTTGTTGACAAGTTTTATATTTAGTGTGTCAGCTGCACACTTATGAATACTTTGAAACACTGATGTATATATGTATGTACTTAACTATTACACTTAACTCTACAATACAGCACAACATTATGGCTATGGCTAAGTCAAATGATCTTAATATCTGGTTACATGCATCCAGTTGTCTGAAAATCATGCTAGTTCTCCATGCATCAATCCGTTTTGACCTTCATTTTAAAAATGTACACAATGCTACAAGCAAATTAACAATACTCTGACAGAGTACAGCTTCAATTAGTAATTAAGGCATGCAATACTTCACAAAATATCTCAGAAAATTAANTTTGCTTGCAGAGGCTCAGGAAAACCACAAGAGTCTCAGCCCATTTCCAGGCCGAGATTTGAAGTGGGATCTTCCGAATGTAAGCAGCGGTGCTTGAAACTCAGCAGTAATGAAGTTTTACCTTCAAACAAACTGAAAAGCTTATTCATTTTCTCGTGGGTAGAGTAACGTTTCCTCTCTGTCAGTAAATGAAACCATGACTTAATTTTAGTAATGTCGCTGCTTAATTTATATTTGGCTGTCAGTAGGATAATTGGACGGCCACAACCCACCCCAAATTTCCTTCCATTCACCGATATTTCATGGCCCACTCTATTCCACAGTGCCCTCTCGAGCACGCAGGAGTCACAGAGATCCTTCGAGCACTGAAGTTACTAATCTCTCATGGACGGTTTTACAATGACAAATGACAGCCACTTATTTAAAAGGAAATTTTCTTCACGTGGCCTGAAGCCACCTACTGGCACATATCCCCTCTCCATCGCCTGACGATCAACCCCATGAAGGAAAAATAAAAAGGAAAGGATGGAGGATGCAAGGGGAAAGGAAGGGAAAGAAGTATTTAAAATTAATGTCAATCTGTTTGCCTCTCATCCATTTCCTTTTTCGAGATAATTTCGGTTTAATTCTTATGCGATTACATTTGTAATTTCCCCATCAACGTTTGCGAGCAATGGCCTTCGGTTTTGTCTCTGTCTCTCTCTGCCTTTTTACGTAGTGGAAATTGATTGCGTTAATGAAAATGAGGAATGGAAATGGGGTTGAGAAGTGTAAAAAAAAATCTATGAAGTTGCTTGGAGTAAAAGCATAAAAGTATTATGGAAGAAGACAGAGAGATAGAAGACGAGAGAAATGAAGGAAAGAATTTGTTTAGAGGAGTCAGAAAGCGATTAGTTGTCTTTAAAGTGCCTGGGGCTCCCAACAGATGTAAAGTAACTGGATGTGCAGTTGTTTGCGCACTGTTATCTGAGTGGAAATCAAACTTCAAAACATCTCTGAAGGTTTTATTTGATGTTACACTTTTGTCTTTGTCAGGGATCGACAATTGGACGACAGTGGGTCACTAGTGGCCCTCATAGACAGAGGGTTTCGGAAGACAAGGGACAAGTGATACTGAGTAAAGTAAGTAAAGCTATCCCTGTACCAGGCCGCGAAATCAAATAGGGTTATAAGACGTTGAGGATCCCACATTATCTAGACAATCGGCTCAAAGATGGCGGTAAGGTTGTCAGTCTTACGTGCCAGCCGCGCTTTACTCCCCAGGAAAATTATTTAATTAATTCCTGGTACTCATTTCTGATAGAGGCTGAGTGAACCCCAAGGCCATAGTGTGGCTGGAAGGGTTAGGTCAATTGAAAAAAAAAAATCCAGTGACCTCATCGGGACTTGAACCTGCGACCTTCAGGCTTGTAGCATAGCCCACTTTGCTAATATAGTAAACAGACTCATGAACTGAAGGTTAATACCAAAAATACCATAGTTTTAAAAGCCTTCATATAAAGAAGTAGCCCCAATGCCCAAAGTGAGACAGAAGTATTACTTCATATGGATATGATGGGATATCCACTAAAATTTTAAAAGTCAGCAGTCCCTATATTTCTTCTCCTCTAACTTATTTATGTAATAGAATGCTAACAACTGGCAATTTTCCACTAAGATTAAAGTTCTCTGAAATAAAGCCCATATATAAAAAAGGTGATAAAAATGACACATCGAACTACAGACCTATTTCACTGCTCACATCAATTTCTAAGATCTTTGAAAAGGTAATCTATAATAGAATGCAACAACATATCAAGAAAAATAATATTCTTGCTAATGAACAGTTTGGATTTAGACATGCACGATCAACAGATGATGCAGCTTACTATCTTATTAATAATATCTTAACTGCTTTAAATAAAAAAGAAATTGTGGGCGGTGTTTTTTGTGATCTTCACAAGGCCTTTGATAGTGTCAACTATGATATTCTGCTTTCAAAGTTGAATCATTACGGGATTAAGGGAAGGGCTAATGATGTAATTAGATC